TACTTACCAATGAATGAGTTCAAAGACACAACACTTTTGTTAAATCAACGTAAAACCGAAATTCACTTTGCGAACAGGTGGTTTGTAAACTACACTATGAATGGCGTACAAAGAGACTGAACATAGCCGCAAATGCACCAATGGGCAGCAGACATTACAGGAGTACCAGTGTTGTCAATAGCACATAAAAATAATGTGGTTTAACAGAGTTGCCAATGGTGTTTACAATTCCCCCTTGTTCACAAAATTCCCCCACTTGACCCTTAAGCAACAATTAAATTATTGATTAATGGCTGATTTAAAGCTAAGCAAATCGAGTCAGTGCAATAATTAGTTGTTACCACAAATACTGTTTTAGGCCTAAATTTCTTCAGTATAATTTTAAAAGTCATCTCTAGTACCCACCACTTACATAAATTTAATGAAATTTTGTCGCATCTAATAGTGAGTTCCACAGTACTGCTAAGTAGTAGAGATTTTCTGTTACATTTATTGCATTAGACACAATTTCATGCTTAGTAAAAAAATTAATAAACTAAGCTCGAAACTAAGGTAAGCTGTACTTAATATGTCTTTTTCTTTTCTTACTATTATGTAATGCTATACAATATCCAATAAGCTTCTTTATTTACTTTACCTGAATCGTTTATTATACTATTTATAGCTTGAATTCTGTGTCTTCTTCTTAACAAATCCAGCATGTCAAAATTTACGACAGTTGACCAAGTTGATGTCATCGACCTCGTCTGCCTAAAGAATTTTTCACACGGTTGGCTGCTATAAATCCATGGTAACACAAATTCAGGATTGCTTCTAAACTTTTCAATGAGGATCATATAACCATGTGCATTTAATTCTATGCAAGTATATGTATTCAGAGTGAGCCAATTTTTTGCCAAGGTGTAGTTGCTTTGTTCTTTAATCCAAGCTCTCCATAGACGTAAAAAGAGCGTTACATACCAAATTAAGTAAACTCTTTCCTCTATTGATAATGACTTATCCAAGTATGAATCCAAAATGTATCGAGTGAGAACAAGCAACTGACGGGTAGCTTTACATACATCACTGGTTAGTAAGCTGATCACACGAGTGGACGACAATTTGTCGATGGCTTCAAAATTCATTTTATCCGAACCTAACAACGAAAAATAAAAGCTAAGCAAATTTTCACAAAGGACTGAAAGAAACTGGGTATTTACTTTTAGTAATTACACCCTGTATAAAAAAAGCAGTAATGTTACTTACTATCCAGATAACTAAGGCATAATAAATGTTTGTCTTTGGAAACAGTGTTAATCAAATCGGTTAGATGATCCTTCGACACTTCGTAATTTCCCATTTCCAACACAATTTTTTCATTCAATAATCTGTTCTTCATTTTAGTGGCAATATGTACTGTGTCTTGAATTGGCACTAGATTATTTATGTCAAAATTTGCCTGAAAGGGTAAATAAATTTACTTTTATGAACATTAGAAAAAACCGGAAATATATTTGTATTTAAATAATCCAAAAAAAAACAATTTTTATAATCTACTTAGTTCTTTCCTCGGTTCTTTCTTTGTTTAATTCCAGAGAAATAAAAAAATTACCTGAAAGTATGGTGAATACGGTGTCTCTTGTTTGGAGAAAGCAGGAAGTCCGGCTATTATTTTCATGGCTTTTAAGCAACGAGAATCCCCATCAGAAGAAATTCCATCGACTACAATATTGTAATTTGTGGTTTCTTGTTGTATATATTTCCATCTTAATAATACATCTTCATGTGTAAATGTGTTATTACTCCCAAACAAAGTCAAGCAAAATGCGGCAGCCCCATCTTGTAAAGGCTGAGCCATAAAAACATAGGCATTTTTTGCAAGATCGCTATTTTCTATAATATTTTTAATATTAGAGACTGAATTTATTAAGTTTTGATTCGTCTTCGGAAAACCAGTGTGTTCCAAATTAGTAAGAACATAGCCTACTAACTGGTTGGTTGACTGATCATAACGCGGTCGCCTCACAATAGCCGTTTGATCTTCTGAAATAAAAATCCGAAGAGGGTAATTTCTTTTTTCTAAGAATTCTTTTAACTGACCAAATGCTAATTCTCCTTCTCCACATTTTTCATAATTTTTTGACAAGCTTCTACTTAAAGTTGAAACAGAAGGAAGTCCGTTTGGAATATTAGCTACCAGAGTCTCATATGCAAGACGCCCTGAAGTTAAAAACAAATAAAGGCACAGATTTTTTAGTTCATCTGGGTACCGATTAGCAGAAGAGCTTTCTGAAGAATTTTTATTTACGGCTCTTATAAGCATTTCAAAAAACGATTCTGGGCCAAGTTTTTGACACTCATTATTTAACATTTCTGGTTGTCTATTTTCACAAAACATGTTTGCTGATGTTGAAAAAGCTTTATTTAGCGTTGCGTTTTTAAGTATTTGACTTTTTATTTCTTCACAAATTTTATAAAAGTCGGTGATTTTAGTCTGACTAGAATCAAAATTTAATTTTTGGTAGGAAATTTTTTTTTCCGTTCTTGAACGACTTTTAGGCGTGTTTTCAGCCGGCGAAATATTCAAGTTACACACCGTTTTACCCTCGGTTTCACCTCTGCTGTCATCTATTGAAATTACAGAATTACAAATATCCTGATTTATGTCCTGTTCCAAGTTCTGTTCAGAAAAGTCTATTTCCTGCGAGATTTCCTGCATAGTTTCTGGAGATTGTTCTTCTGATAAGTCTATTTCTCTGTTTGTTAATGGGCGTGAATTTGGGCATTCTGGTGGCAAGGATGAATTAGACGGTAAAAAATATTTTCTTATATTCGAGTTTATTTTTTTTTAACTGTAGATTTTTCGGAGGGTAATTTAAAATGAGTTTTAAAGTGCCTATTGACGTTTGAAAGGACCCACTTTTTTTTATTTCTCTTCTTATCTATTTCGCAGTATGCTTTTGACCTAAAATCACATCGACTACATTGAATAAACGCCACGTCATCCTTGACTTCAACAATGATATCGTTAGTTGCTTGTTCCTGAAGACAAGAACTTTCTTCTGCTCCTATGCTTTTCAAGAATTTTTCTTGATAGGAGCGAACAACCAATTTTATGTGCTCTCGGATCCTTTCATTATTTTCCGAGTTATTTTCTTCAGAAGATAAAGCGCAGTCATTATCAGAAGCCGTACTAGAAAGGGATGTACCTCGGGATGTAGCTTGAGATGTACCTGGTGTCTCAGATATTCTTTTTTTTTTTGTTTGGCGATTATTTATTCTATCGTTAGTATTCAGTCTTTTACGCTTATTTTCTTCAAATTCTTTACATTTTGTTCTCAAAAATTGTAGTAGTTTTTTGTCTCCATCCACGATGCAAAACACAGGAAGATTTCTAATAAATATTCCAAAAAAACTTATTTTTTCCTCTTCTGTAAGTAACAAGGGTAAAGTTTTTCTTGCAAAATCTTCAAGTTTTACGATGTCTTCGTCGTCTAATAAACTGAGAGCTTTATGATTAGAATATCCGGTGTATGCAAGGAGATCAATAAGGTATGCTGGAAAATTGGTATCTATATCAAATTCTTTTAGGATATCCAAAATTTTATTCTTGCTTTCATTTACTCGCTGCATTTTCTACCAACCTAAAAAATTATATGTTTGTCACATTGAAAAGATTAAATATTAACAGAGAAAACCAATATACCAGGTAAAAATAAAAACAGGGAGCATGCCGCCATGTTTCTTGTTTAAGTAATCGTTTTGAAATTTTGGGTCAATAATTGAATCGCAAATACCCATTTTTATAGCCGAATTCGAAATACGATTCTCACAAAACTGACGCTTCTATGATCCTTAAATTAACAAGACCGCGAAAGAAGGTTAAAACGAACACAAAAGTTTCTGCATCAGCATTTGCGTTTTTTTCAAAGCTTGTGTCTTACAAAATACAAAATAACTACAATTGGAAATTTTGCGACCGTATTTATTTCATTAATTGTAAATAAAAACGAAAAACAAGCGAATGTGAAACGAAACTCTAATGTAAAAGAAGATGCGCTTTGCCATTATAATTTATTGGTGATAAATCGGAGTTAAATTTAAAATTTTGTTTTTATTAATAATTCAGTCAATATCCTTCAACGCACGCGAAAAAGTCTCAAAAAAAGTATCAATCTAATTTTGTATTATTGTTGTTTTAACGCGTGAATCGTATCCCAAAAACACGAGCTGTAATTTGAAGATACTCTGTAAGTTTTCTCCTCGCTATTAGTTTCGTGATTCTTTTACGAAGTAAAGGACGAAATATTCTTAGAAATATGCAAAGGAATTTAAGTCAAGCGTTTTCTCACAATAACCAAAAGAAAAACAGTTATTTTACTTACCTTAAGATCTGAGAAACTCGCCGAGAAATCAAAATAACACAACAGTCGAGACAACAATACACTTCAGACTGCACTCATAATTAACAGATCAAACGAACTTACCTAAGTGAAGTTCGATCTGGATTATATGAAGCCTTGTCGAAGTAAATAAGTAGAATAGGTAGTATCTCCGATGGCATCGAGTCTCACACAAATTCAAAGCAAATAAAAACCCCGCCCGGCCCTGCATACCTAATCCATCCTCTGAGGTTCCCCCGCATCGCATACCTTCAGTCTTCTTCAAAGCTACATTGTTGCAACCAAGGGAAATAAATAATAGGGTAGGGAAGGGACTTATTTACTTCGACAAGGCTTCATATAATCCAGATCGAACTTCACTTAGGTAAGTTCGTTTGATCTGTTAATTATATTTCAGCCTTGTCTCGTAAATAAGTAGAATAGGTAGCTATTTAAAGCAAGTTGCAACAATTTTCATTGGAAACATGTTATATTAATAATAATTAAACATACCGAACAGAATAATATTAGGCACACACTTAGAATTGATATGTACATAAACATTAATTCTAAGGATGGCAACAACATAATATGGTTATACATTTATTTTTCAAGATAACTTATATCTTAATAAAAATGTACCTATTTAATATGATAAATAACAAATCTGGAAAATATTTTCCTATACTAGCATTAGAAACAAGAAACTTAAAGATAAAAACTCATCATAATACTAACAACTAAGAACAGTCGTTGCAAAATTGTCTTTTTGAAGCAAAGGTCTGTTATAATGATTGGCAAAAACAGAGGATTTCTCCGACCAGCCAGCTGCAAGTCGAATAGAGTCATAAGGTACTCCCTTTCGCGCAGCTGCGGATGTCGCAGCATGGCGAGTACTATGAGCTGTAAATTGGTTCGTATCCAACCCACTCTTCCTTAGAATCACCTTTAACCATCTAGAAATTGTTTGAGAAGTGACATCTTTATGAGGTTTCTTAAAGGTGATAAAAAGATTTTTTGACGTCTGTCTTAAATTTTTGGTTTTATTTAAATACTCAATTAAGGTTCTAGCTGGACAAATTTTCTTATCTTGATTAAAGAAAGGCAAAAGAAGAGTAGGTTGAATGCGACCTTTGGTTGAAGTTTTAAGTTTTTTAGGTATTTTAACCTCAACTCTGTTTTCATTTATAATAATATTTTCAACTTCTATGTTGGCTAAAGTCTGTACTCTTTGACCAGTAGCCAAGGCAATAAGGATTGCTAATTTATATGTGAGGTCTTGAAGGCTTAATGTTTCATTAGACATAGATTTAACATATGTCAAAACAATAGAGGGGTCCCATGTGTAATTGTATCTGGGAGCAGTAGGTCTTAGACTATGGACCCCTTTAAAAAATCTCTTAATTCTAAAATCAGAAGTTAATTCTGGCCCCAAAATTTGAGTAAGAGCTGCTCTAAATGAATTTAAAGACGTATGAGTAGCTCCCTTTTTAAATTGAGTAGTAAAAAATTTTAAAATATCTGGGACAGAGGCTGAATAAACATTCATGTTTCGAGATTTTCTAAATTGCCACCACAGTTTAAGACCTGAATTATATTGTTGAATTGTAGAGGTAGTAATGGAGGCTAAGCAAATTTCTAGAGCTTCTTCAGGTACTGAACCAGCTCTCAGGGCTTGGAGGATAACACTCCTGCCACCAGGGAAATTTTTCGCCAAAGTGGATGAGGCACGTTCCTAAAAGAGAGTAAACGTTCGTTAGCCTCGAAAACTAAAGGTGTTGATTCTAATAATGATGTAAAAAGTGGGTACCATGGCTGGGATGTCCAGAAGGGCACAACGACAATTCCTCTAGCTTTTTCCCCTTTTATTTTTTGCAAAGCACGAAGAATAACAGAAAATGGCGGAAAAGCATAAAAGAAAAACTTGTTCCATTTTATCGTAAAAGCGTCCACTGCTATGCATTCTGAATCTCCCAACCATGATACAAACTTCTTGCATTTAGCATTCATTTTTGAAGCAAAGAGATCAACTTCTGGTTTCCCAAAAGTGGATATTATATCTTTAAACACCAAGTTGCTTATTTCCCATTCGGTTTCTTTGGATAATTTAAGTCTGGATTGTGCATCTGCTTCAAAATTGTCTTTAGACTTTATATAACTGGCATATAAATAGATATTTTTACCCTCGCACCATTGCCAAATAATACGAGATAATTTATTTAGGGATTGGTGCTGTACACTTCCCATCTTATTAATATAAGCCATGGCAGTTGTATTGTCAACTCGGAATAATATATTGCAATCTGAAGCATTTTTAGCAAAATGTTTTAAAACCAAATAAACCGCTTTTAGCTCCAAATAATTTATATGATAAGTTTTTTCACTTTCGGTCCAAAAACCATGTATTCTTTCCCCATTACAATATCCTCCCCAACCAGTATTCGAAGCATCAGAAAAAACTTCCATACAATAAGAATCTTTTTTAATCGAATTATTAGCTGTAGATAAATTTGTTAGCCACCATTTAAAATCTTCTTTGAGTATAGAGGATATTTCCATTTTTGCATTAAAATTGCCTGCAGATTTTTTTAAAGCTAAGAATTTTTCACGCTCA